CCTCATGTTTACCTAAAAGTGCTGCAAGGAGTTCTCACGTGAACCTCCATTCTGTCTGACAGTAGAAATGACTACCAGAATTGATTTCTTAAAACAGGGAACTTCTCCAAGGCCAGCATCTGTGCAGCACCATCAGAAAATCCACCTGATGCTGCACTAACAAAGGGTACCCAGCATCTGAAGGGGTGTATGAATTACTTGCTATCTGTATTCTTCCATTTATTTTCTTATTAAAACAGCTATTTTATTTAGCTGTTTGTTACTGGGCCTTTCTTATTGAGATCCAGAAAGAACCTTGCACAGTCTCCCTTACCTCATGACCCAGAGCAGAACATTCTCTGCCCATCCCATCCTACCACCTGCCTGTACATCCTCCCTCACCCTCATTGCATGATGCCTCACAAGTTCCAAGAAAAGGCCAAAGGGATTTATAGTCCAAGCAAATAGAGAAATATACATTAATCTCATGGCATTTTATCTTACACTAACCTTTAACCCCCTCTAAAGACCTTACCTATTCCCTACTTGATAGTAAATCCTATTATGTCTGGTCCTCTTGAACAGAAGCCACTACCAGTAAGCTTTTCATGTACAAACTAAAAGCTCCTGAGTGTGTTGCTGAAACTCAAGACCAGAGCAGGATGCCTGCTTTCTAAGAGGACTGCCTCCTCTCTGAGCAGCATTTAACAGAGTGCTTCAGACACAGCCCATTCAGTGAAAGAGCAGCTGACATTTTTGCCAAAGAGCATGCATTTTACAGCACAAGCATTGATTTCTCCCTAGAGAGACAGTACATATACTATTTAATCAGTAGGGGTTTTTTAAATAATACAAAGCCATTGTTTTCATTTGATTCCTTTGTCTCTACAGCACTGCAGTTCTATTTTTTGTTCACATGTAGATGCACAGGTTCCTAAAGCCAAGGGTGGAGGGGAGAGGGCTGCCAGTCTACCTCCCTGACACCAACACGTTAAAGATGCCCGTACTGGGCTGCTTGTGCCAGCAGTCCCAGCAGCAAGCTTATGCCTATATTCACACCTGATAAAACAATAGGGACAAAGTGGAGAAAGGAAAAGGCTGGCTGCCTTTTCAGGGTTCACTAGAAATTGATAGAAGCTGCTGCCCCTCACTCTTGACCACAGGATAAAGGGGCTCTGCAGATAAATCAGTGCTTCTGCTAAATCAATGGTCCTCTGAAGACACAAAGTATTTAGACAAATGGACAGGGAGAGCAATCACTATTAGAATATCCTTCCCTACTTAGTTTCAGCCTTTTCTCTTGACATTCAATCCTTAATGTTTGCTCTTGCAATGCATTATCACACATATCACGGATATCTTACATACTACTAGTTATTTAAATAAATGTAATCTATTTAAACGAAGCAAGAATAGGATGTTTCGAAGGATGTACTGACATCTTAAGGAACCCTGCCTCACTCAGCGGTGGGGAAAAAAAAAAATCACTTGCTTCGCTTTGATCCAAATGTCAATTTTGTAGAAATATCTATTATTAAAGTTTTGAAAGGCCATCAGACAGAGGGAACAATGTAGTGCTGTAACTCCAGTCACCAGAGAAAGGAAGAAAAGAGAGGTATTTGTGCACATGGCATTTTTTTGAAGTTTCTGTAATCTTCAAAGACACTCTACACTCTATTTCCTTTCCTATCACTATGACAACATACATGACGTGCAACTATGTGGAAAGACTCAGTCTCTACATGATTGATACTTCCTTGCACCAAATCCGTCCAAACGTTTAAAAGAGTTATATCTCCATTTATACCACAGGTTAGATGAAAGGGAAAGAGTTACATTTTCATACGGTGAGAGAGAGGGGTACATTTTTATTCATTAGCTGCACACTGCACATTAAAAATGCAGTGACTTTTTATATAAATATGTAAGTTATAGCTGGATTATACACACAAAAATAAGCATTTTGGATGATTAAAATGTAGTATTCAGTCAATTAGGTTACCTGAAAAATGCAGCATCGAGTGCTATGAGATTTTTCACATATGAGAAGATACAAACTTGACTTTAAATAAGATACTTAAGCTATTTCCTGTTAAAAAAAACCCCTCAGCTCTTATTGATATCAATTTCAAGACATTCAATAAAAAAAGCACATCTAGTGGAAAGTAAGCACTGATTATAATTTAGCTCCTCATCTCTAGGATTTTTTTGTATATTTTGGTTCTTTAACTACTGCTCTTGCCATCTTACTGTGAGACATCACAACTGGAACAGCTGGAAGCACAGCCTTTCCTGAAAGCACTGTATACACCAGGAATATGCAAAAGAACTCCTGTGCTGTTGTGCAACTTACTTGTTAAATCTCCTGTACCTGTTGCGATAATCAAATTGTATTAATTGTTTAAGAGGATTTTAGGGGAATATTGATGCCCCATTTACCCACCTCACTACACTGTCCTTCTGATACTTCCTGAAGGATTACTTCCACAGATCAAAGATGCCAACCTTGGGAATGCTTTTGCAAGGGTAGCATCTGGCCCCTTGGCACACTCTTCTTTGAGATGTGCCAGCTCAGTAGTTGCCTTAAGGTACATCAAATGGTCAGAAAGCTAAGATAGTTCACTACCCTGGACATCAGTTTTCCTCTGTCAGCAGTCTTCAGATTTGTCCTCTCTCTTCCTTCAAAGCATCTGGTAACTTGGCACCTCCTTTTCTTACACATAAAGGTCAAGGCATTGTGCCTTTCTTATCTGAATTCTGATAAGAAAAGCCTCTGATTTTGCTAAGCAAATAGTTTTCGAAAGTATGTCTTGCGTAGTTGGGAAAAAAAGGTAGGGAGAAAAAAGAAGGGGGAAGGAAATAAATTTCAGACAGCAAATCCTTTCATATATCTAACTGGAGCTGCAGATACGTATTCGATATCAGCAATGGGTACTGTTCTGCTCCCTTGGGAACAGGTTGTGCACCTTGCCTTGCAAAATCAGCAGATACTCACAAATGCGTTTCAAAGAAAGTCTTTACCAATACACCTTGCAAGCATAGGCACCTCCCATTAAGTAACTCACTGTGGCAGTGGGCTCCCTGCCTTCTGCTTAAGCAACAGCCACCAGTGGCAGTCGTGATGGCTGCATCTGGCTCAAGTTGGACTTTGGGGAAACAAGTAACAACACGGTAGCTGCTAAGGGCCATAAATCTTGCTCAGCAGCGGAGGGCTGGTTGGAGGGTTGCACCAACCGAAATACAGCTGGTACGCAAGTATGGTTATAAGTCGACCAAATTACTCCATAACTAGTGGACAGTTCCAGGACCTGTTGAGCTCTCCTGCACAAGAGGATCCCCCCTTGAGTAGGGATGCCTCTAGGTTACTCCTTGAAGCTGAGAGATTCCTCGCCGCAATAGATTCTCAGCAAGTGATTATTAGCATGCTAAGTTGGAAATCTTAGCTAAATAATATAAAGGATTGTTTGTGCATATATAATCCTTTAGACATAAACCACTGATCAAGACTGGGACTAAGTCTGGACTCAGCCACACCTAAGCTCCCTTTAAGAAGGAGTTTAGAACGCCAGAGTGTCCTTTCTGAACCTTACAACTCAACAGGAGGATCTCCTTTACAGTTTTGTCTGACCCTGTCCTCCATATACTAAATCATCAAGTGTACCTTGCCACTGAATCTTGTTAACAGCTGTCGCATTTACTATCAAATTTTGCTAAATCGTGTTTTATACCAATAAACATGTTGCTACTTCTCTCTTATGAGTGAGGTGCATCACTCCATCTGTGACATTCACACACTGAAGGAATTATTTTGGTCTCATATAAAAACCTTTCTTGGAAGGACCATTAATCCAGATATTGATTCAGAAAAGTTTTAAGAATATCTGAAGAAAATAAATTTATTTTTGCAATAGACCATACCAAATAACTTTTTCATACCAAGTTTTAGTCGCATTTTCAAAGTGATAAATGTGTCTGGCATTTCCACTTAAAACAATCCAACATATCATAAAAAAGGAAAGTCACCAGTCCATAAGACAATCAGTAATACTTAGTTCCTTTAGAGATAAATATAGCATTAAGAAAAGCACATCCCATTTTATAGAATCAGTCTTATTTCTCGAGGAAAGGTAAAATTTAAAGAGCTGTGAAATCAAACTAACAGTCATCCCCACAGAATCAAAGATGACTGACCATCCTTTCCATATGGCGTTTTATTTCATACAGATCAGTAAATTCTTTGATAATGCAACTGCCATTCTTAATCAGAATTTGATCTAAAAGATTCATTATGTGCCCAAGATTGACTTGACTCGTATCTCAGAGATTGCCTTTCTCTTTGAGGAAGCTAGTGGTATAAAATAACACAGTAAATGTCTGTTCAAACAGACAGCAATCATCTTTAGCAATAACCATACTTCACAGGAAGCGACTCAAGTACTTTTTACTGCTGCTATGATTTAAAGATCTTAATTAACATCAGTTTTATTTCCCAAAGGAAAACAGTTGCTCTCGGTGACAAAGCATTTTTTGAGCACTCCACAAACCAACAGCAGAAGTGAACACTATCACATGCACCCAAAGGCAAAGCTTTTAAAAACCTTTAGAGGAGAAAGGAAAAAGTAGCTTTAATTGGATAAGGCAGAAGGGTAAGGGGTCAGTAACTGTTCCATACACTAGAACACAGAGTTCGCAGATACACAAAGCACTACGAAGACTCCCTCACAGCCCTGGAAACACTGACACTGGGCAACACCAATTCTAAAGATTTCAGGTTCTTTTCTGGATGGAATGCATTTTTTTTATTTTTAATTAGAATTTCAATCACAGAAGAAACAATTCTTAGATCAACTTTTAGATATACATAAAAACAAGAACAGATTGCATATCCTAACCCTATAGGGATAGTATCATTTTAAAAAAAGACTCCAGACTGAATTTGTTCTTGCATCTCACTGAAATACCAAAATGAGTGATACGACAAACAGTCAGATAAAATATATATAGCTTTTACAGACACTTACTTGAATGGTGTGAACAGAAATGACAGTGTATTTTCCTTTTTCTGACTCATCTTAACCTGCATAAAAGAGCATTAAACATGCAAGTTGCAACAAGATTAAAAATTGTACCAGGAGGTAAACTAAAAAAAATCACAGAAATTTCTAAGACTTTGGAAAAGGAATGAAATCACACTGTGAATATACTGTCCAGGAAACTAGGTGTTACACTCCAGCATGTGCAACTCCTCTGAGTTCCTGGAAACTCAGACCTGCTCTGCAGTAAATAAAATAAACAACGTACCACCTACTGATTTTCTCAGAAGGACTTCTACAGTTTGCAGGATAAAGAGAAGACATGGCTAGAAGTGCTACCAGGCTTCAGTGACAACCTCCCTGGATGAAACCAGTATTATTTATGTCAGACAGGAACTAGTACACTGCAGCAAACACTGCCAAAGCAGTGCAGTTAAATCAGTTAACCTGCACATGGATAAAATACATTTTGATGCCATCAGAGCCACTTTGCCCAAGGACCTCCAAAACATCTTTAAAGCCTTCTGCAGCAGCCTGACTCAAGTCTGACAGTTGGTATAATGTGCAGACAGGAGTTTCCTAAGCACACTGCTCCCAAAGCCTGACAGCTTGAAGTAGCAACCCACATATCTCATCCTATCCACTTAAGGCACCATCTTCTCCAGGGAGTACAAATTCTGGTTGGGTCAGTCCACCATAGGAAAAGCAAAAACCCAGCTGGCATGCCTAAGCCAGTGCGCTACTTCAGCAGAGAAATACAAAGGAAATTCATACAGGATCATTGCAAAACAATGCCAGAAACAAGCTAAGAAAAAAAAAAAAGATAATCTAGCACTAAAAAATGACAGAATAAAAATAAACTTAAAGGAAAGGAGAAGTAGAACTACTCCTTTCCTTAAATAATGTCCAAGACAACAACTTAACTGAAAAAGACCTGAGTCACAACCTTAATTCTTAAAGCAGAGGTCTTTCAACTGTGGAGGTGATATCAGCATGCTTCACCTTCACATCTAGTCCAGCACTTCCCCTGTTTCCTAGCAGCTTCCAACCATAAATTTGAAAGTGACTCTGCTGCTGATACTGCCCCCTAGTATCCACACTTTTGAGAACCCAGCATTCAAGGGACAGAAGCTGTTGAAGGTGCTAAACTCTTGCAGGTCATCTCATGCTAGTTTATTGTTCCACTATCATCACGTGGTTTTCTTGACAGGGTGACAGTTCTTGTGTGTCTCAGCTTCCTATCTACAGAGAGGATGATTTTCCCTCAGAACATTTCTATGCCTTGCCAAAACTGTGATTTTGGGATTTTGGACAGTTTCTTATTCCACTGTCTAGCGAAACAGAACCTTTTTTGTTTGGACCACTCAAATGTCCTCCTAAATATAATATCCAATATTAAATGAAGCAAGACAGAGAAGCCAGAAATGAACACTTACAAAGCAAAACAACAGATACAGCAGCATTAGCTAAAAGTTAATTAGACCACTAATTTCATTTCTTTAATGGACAGGAGCCTATTACCTTTTTGACCTGTTTGTGTACTGATCCTGACTTAGAGCCTTGTCTCCTAGCCCTCGTTTCAAAGGTACCTTCTCAGGTACCAGAAGTCAGATTCTACCTCCATAGTGCAAGCAGGTTTATATCAACACCAATAAACCTCAACATTTTTTATTTTGTAAAGAGAATGAATAACTTTTTTCCTGAATCTTAATAAAGGTTGTTTATTAAAGTCTTTCCAGCTCCTTCAGATATGGCTCACAGCTAGTCAATCAACATCACCCAGTATATGCATTCAATTTTATTCCTTTGAATTCAGCATACTATATATAGGGTATGTCCTATAATTATTTTACATGTAGCAACAACTATTATTCGAATAAGTATTTTTTTTAATACGTTTAGTACCTTAAATTGCTCAAGAATTTGAACAGCGTTGGTAAACATGCTCTCTGCTTTGAAATGAGCACTATTGTTCAGATATTCCAAAGGCAGAGTTCCCTGAGGAAGAAAAATACACATATACATAAAAAAATTTAAATGAAAAACCAGGAATTTCTCTGACTGAATTGCTGGCCAAATGAGGAGTAAGAATAGAACAAATTACTGCTGAAATAAATAATGTAACTCCACTGAAAATACTCTTCTCACATAGTTTTGCAAAATGACAGGGAACGTTTAAAACAGCTTTTACAGGAATGCAAAAAACATAAATAACAGAAATTGTTATTAAACAATATATGACAAAATAATATAACCTTGACCTCTAATCAGAGGCCATTTATGAAATACCTAAAAGTCCTCTACCTAAAGCCTGGAAGGAAGTCAATCTGGGCCTGACTCAACCCAGTACTTGTGATAGGAAGGTGAGCAGTTCCCCTGCCACTTTATGCTGGGCACAGCCAGCAATGAGTGCAGGACAGGGCAACAGAAACTGGAGCAGAGTCTCCAGAAGAAATATTTCAAAAAATGTGCTGCAAATAGGTGCATTAAATGTGAAACTAGCAGCGTGAGAGCACACCAATGAAATGCTAATTGTCAATTAGATATTTATGAGGCAACTTTTGGACTGTGTAATAATACATGAAAGAAATTAAAAGAAAAAGCCAAGCCATCTCACTGTTCAGTAAATTAGAGGCACAAGACACCATCTGAAGAAAATACTCAAGTTTAATCAAGAAATAATTAAACATTAAATTGCAGGAACAAGCTTGTTTACAGGTTCCGCTTTCATAATCAAAATCGTGTTATTCAAGCCATATCGCATTTTTACCACCCTAAAAACAAAATAATAAAAAACCTTTATGCAACTCAAGTGTATAAAGTTGCAGATTACAAAAGGATCAGCTGCCTTTCCAATTGAAAGCCCTATACAATATACAAAAAGATTGAGTTTGTACTCTAAACTGAAGATACACACATAAACCTAAGACTACAAGCAGTCTTCATATCCTGTAGCACTTTTACAGATCTACAATCTTGCCCTTCATACGCCTCGAGACTTGGCCCCAATACTTCTTCCTCTATGGTAAACAGATTTTTATAATATGTAAAAACATTTGTACTTCTTACCACAGAATTCAGGGGAAATGGCACACCGATAAGGGAAGCCATCAGCGGTGCAATATCAGCCTGTGCAAGCAGAAGCATTGCTGGTTTAATACAATTTCAGCCTCTGGAGTTAATAAATTCAGTTTAATTTTAACATATCTGCATTTCCAAAAGAAAATGGTGTAATACTGTAAAATTATAACACACAACTCTCCTTCGTAGGTTTTCTTTTTTTTGCAGTTTCCAGAAGTCACGGCATATGATTAGGTTCAAAATGTGAGGCTCCACTACCAATAAACCTTCAAAAATACTTTTAGTATAAAAAGCAAATATAACCCCTCCCCCAGTATTTATTTACAGGAATACAGCACCTCCTTCACTGCACTCAGAGAGGCATAACATTTTTATGACTATTTATATGATGGAAAGAACTAATTTCATATTTACAGTTCTAAGCAATACACTGGATATACTGCTTTTCACAACACTTCTTATCCCATGCTTCCACAGTGCTGATTACTCACTTTCTCCCCTTTAGAGAGTGTTTCTGCACTTTTATTTGTGTCCAGTCAGCCCTCAGAAAGGCTCTGCAATCTACACTAAGGCATCTCATAAAATAAGTTACCATTACATTCTACTCATGATGATAAACACTCCCTCTTACTAGGTTTATATTTTCCTTTAATATAAAGCTAGGAATCAAAATTCTTTGTTTCTTCAGCATAAATCTGAAGAAACTACACTGAAAAGGCACTACTCCAGCCTCAGATCTACTGTGCAGACTCCAAACGATCATTTGTAGATAACAATATATATGTAGTGTAATGGTAGTCAGAAGTCTACTTTGCTATTTTTACCCATAGTCCCACATGTACTACAGGATAAAAGCTCTGTCTTTGGGAACTCCATTATCCAGCACAAAGCAACACTCGAGATTCTTCTATACAGTCTCAAAATAACATAGACATAACTCCTATCAACCTTGAGAGGAAGACTGGTCTCTAGTTTTATACCATAGCTTTGCTGAAAGCAGTTGATCCAGAACACTGCCAACTTGAACCTTCTAGCGTGAGTTTATTTCCTTTGTTTGAGCAGATTTGGAATCTGTTATTAATGTATTGGTTTACGTAGGACAACAGGAAGTAAGAAGAACCACGATTTTAAAAAGCTTGGCTGATTTAGTATCAAAGGATAAGATGTCCACCTTTTTTTCTTCCTTTACAGTACTAATTGTCTCGATTGCAAAATGCCTGGGCCATAATCACAGATCCTATTGAAAAATAACACAGTTTAACACTATAGCAAGAAATGGTTTTGATTCAATAATGACAGTAACATCTGAAAAAAAGTGACAAAATACAGACATTGAATAGACGGGTCTGAAAAAATAAACCAAACATACACATGGCTAACAAGTGTAGGAAAAAGCACATAGCAGATGTTCACAAACTTGGGAAAAATCATTATCAGACCACGCTTTTTTTGTGTTTCGCTAGACACCTTCATAGGAGATACAGAGGAGGTTTAAGTTCTGCTCCAGAGCATTTTCCAAATAAAAAGTAGAGGGAAAGCATCACAAGTTACTTCCCACTCTGAAAGCCTGCTAGATGCCATTCAAGTTACTTCTCGGTAACTGGTACCGAGTTTGAGGAGGACCTTTTACATTGTACTGCACCCTTTCTACAAAGGGTACCATCACTTAACTAAAATGGTGCAGTAATGTATCTTCAGGAGAAGTTGTATGTTGGTGTCACGTGTCAAGAAGCAGTTTAAACATATCCTCATTATGTTCAGTATGAGTGCAGTTCCTGCAACTCTTAAAGTAACACATTCTAGGGAAATTGTATATCAGTGTGATCGTTCATTCAAATTAAATTAGCTTAAATCACAGAAAATCAATAATTTAAGGTGAAAACTTATGAACTATTAAATTAGGTATGCTTGATACCTGATTGACATCAAGCCTCTTCAAGTTCTCCAGCTTCCATTCTGCAAGAAATAACAGAGCACATGAACAGCTAATCTACACAGATTTGAAAGGGGTAATTCCATTGACATTTAATGTCTTGTTGCCGTTTTCTGTAAATTGTTGGTACTAAAGAAAATTATAATTTGACTTTAGGATCCTAGCTCAAGAAGGTTACAGATGGAACTCAACAGGCAGAAACAACAAAATGCATTAATTTCAGTTCACATTTTCTTTTATACAGTAGGATAAATTGCTGCTTGCAAATCTGTGACCTAGATTAGTTGAAGGAAGGCCAAGGGTTTTGGTTTTTTTCTCTCAATACAGTGATGTATTACCTCCTGTGCCAACTAAAAGAGGTTTAGGAGACGGGCTGTTAAATCTCTTCAATAGTTTATAAAAAAGGTTAACTCAAGGTCCCAAATGTACTGGTACAGTGTGGTGCAAACATATTAGACCCTTACACTGTGGTGCATCACACAAAAAGCTGGTTCAAAAGTGTATTTTCCTGCTCTCCGTTGGCCTCTAAGGAAATAAAGAGAAAATTCCCTAATTTCTTTGGGGGTGGAGAATTATTTAAAAACAGAGTTTAGCAAGATCTGGTTTTGGTTTTTTTCTTTCATACATTTACAGTATTCCATATACCAAACTTATTTTCAGCAATTAGTTCATACCACTGCTAGCTTTGGGGATCTCAGTACAGGTCCACTGTTATTTGATCCCAAAAACTCCCTGAAGAGCAGCCATGTACCTTAACAGCAGTGAGACATACAGCTAAAGCAAGTTCCCATGGCAACACAGAAAAGGTATTAGCAGCATTAATCATGAATTGTGCTAAATTCACACTAAAATGAACAAGTTTGCTTCCTTTTGTTTCCTAGAAAAGGGAAATGGGGTTATATTTCTAGAAACAGACCCTCACTCGTATTTCTATTATATAAATGCATGCTTGCTTTCCTTTAAATAAGATTTTCCAAAGAAAAATGTTGAAAAACTGTACGTGCACACACAAAATGTGCTTAAAGTAGGAAGAAACTGTAGCTCTGCTAAAGAAAACATCTAGCTTTGTCAAAAGCTTTTTCATCTCCACTTCCCCTACTCAGATGTTTCCGAAGGCAGAGTTGAAAACACCTGCATTGGACCAGGAGCTGTAGGACATTGAGCCCAGGAAATACCCAGAACTGGGACACACCTGCAGACCGGCCAGTCTGGGCTGTACTTCCAGGAGTTAAGTGCCTTGGCTGTACATTCTGCCCACACTGTTTTACAATTCCAGCTCACTGTCTAGGTTTCTTATACAGTGCTCAGTTTTCCAACCAATTCATAAAGGGTTTTTCTGCCTCAGGGCAGGGAAGCGCCAGTTCAAGAGGCTGAGGCTGAGGCTACACGAACCGAAGAAAATCTCACAAAAGACTTCACAGAAGCAAAAACAGTGGAGGAGTGCACTTGAACTTCCTCAGCTGTGGCTGAGCTCTGCTGCTGTCCAGCGGCAGAAGATTGCGCTTTCACTTACAAGCTCCTCTGGACTTGCACCCCAGGGCCAACCATTAGCCCACGAGGAGCTGAAGAGCAGCTCTGTATTCTCTGTCTTTCCGAAGAAGGCTCAAACCAATGGCCAAATGGGTAACATTACATGTCGCCCACAGGATGCAGGGCTGCCATAACAAATCTTTCCAAGAGGATTGCCTGACCAGGCCTGAGGGAAGGCAGAGCACAGGTGAAGGAACTGATGAGGAGAAGGTTGTCACCCCAGAGGAGATTCTGTGCCATTCTGGCCATCCAAGGAGCACATTCATCCTTCTGTGACAAACTGGACAGGCTACATCCTGCCCGTTGGCACTGCCTTTGGTGGTACAAACTCTCAATGGCAATAATGAGAAGAGAGACAATTCACTGAGCTGCCCACAGCAGCTCTGCACTGAACAGAGCACTGAACAGAGCATAAGAAGTTTGTCAGCATTAGAAATATTCTGTCAATATTTCCAGGAACTCTTAACTCAGATAAATTAGGAAGAATTGTCAACAGATGCAAGAATTTGAACACTGGTGCATGCAACTACAAATGTAACCCTGATACCTGCATTCACCAGTGTCACAGCAGTCTTGAGGACACTCTCCTTCCCTGCACACAGTCTCACTTGCATTTGTATGGAGCAGGAAAGGCAGATTCAAAGAACATTTCAAGAGCACTCTTTTAAGCGTCTTTTCTTTCACATGTTAGCTTTGTGAAAATATCTGGTACTGTAACTTAATGGAGTGGCTGAACTGTATTGACCTGTGAAAGCGCCAAGTTCCATTTCAACAATTTTTCTTTACTGCTAAGCTATGCAACCTACTTTAAGCTATAATGTACAACCATAGAGAGAACAGTCACTTTTTAAGTGATAATTGATTCTTGCTACTCAAATAGAGATTCAAACTCCCAAGACAGTCAGAGAGACTCAAATCTCCAATAGAGATCATCCATTGCAATTAAGAATCTGTAAAGATAGTGTCTAAACAGACCAACAACATGATTGACAGCTGGGAAGTTGCAGAGCAAGTCCACAAGGAAGAGAGGAATTTCTGATGTTTGCTTTGGTGTGCTTGGTTTTTTGTCTGGTTGTTTGGTTTGTTTTTTGTTTGTTTGTTTTTAACCATCAGAAGGAAAATATGAAGCAGGCACAGTAGGGTGCAGACCAATGCCCTCCTTTAAGAAAATTGACATTTCCTAACATTTCCCTATTGTGCACCTGGAAGTCAGCTCAATACTCATCTTTTTTGAAATGCTCTCACACCATTTTCATCAACTTTAAGTCAAATGCCAAGAATCAAGGAAACTGACAGACGTAAAATTCAACTGTTACAGATCAACTCTTAGATGTCAAGTGTCCTTAAAAGTCAAGCAGATCAGCCATCACAGACATCAAGATCAGTTGGTTTATTCTGTTTTCTATTTTTTTGCTACAACTCGCTTTTAATTTTATCAGAGGTGTCATAGTTTTATAGCACCAGTTAATCACAAAGACTGAAATGTTAGTATAGTCTATATCTGATAAGTCCCATTTGCTTAATCTATTACCAAATACCTTCTCAAGAGCAGGGCAGACTTAAAACCTCAGGGTTGAAGTAATTTTTGCCTGTTTTCTCTAATGTAGCTTGACAAGCAATTCAATAAAATAAAAAGTCATTACCTCATTGATCGTGAGTAACAACCCGAGACTCAAAGCATCTTAAGAAACAGAGCAGGCTACAAGAAGGGGGTACATGAAAGAGGAAGAGCTTGCACAGTTTAATCACACATGGTTCTCTAAATTCATTGATATTTCAGTAAGCCAATATTTATTACATTATATATTTTAAATAATAAATTTATTTTTTTTAAATTATTCCTAAATAAATTACAAAGGAGAAAAATACCAGTAAAGAGTCCTAGTTTTTCATTGAGAAAAACTGTTTACATTTCCACAAGAGCTACAAGGATGCAAGTGAGACAAAACAGCCCCTGGAAAGTCCCCAGGGTTGTACTGTGAAGTTAGAAAAGAGTCTTTCAACCTGTCAACTTATCATGTTTCTGTACAAATAGCTTTTAACCTCTGGGAGTCTTCCTAAGAATTAAGTCTCCTCTGGAACTAAATTTCACAAACATGAATAGCCTCCTGTCCCCAGAGAGAGAAAGTCTTCAATTCTATGATTAGAAAAGAAAACTGACTCTGATATTATCTATCCAATTTTGCAGTATCCTGCTTCAGCATGCCCTGTCAGTTTTATGTTTTACCTACCTTTCAAAAAATTGTCTTCAAAGAACTGGGATGTAACTTTCTGTGGATAATTTATTCCAGCACCCCACACAATCAGTGGTGTTAAAGTTTCTGAAGGATGACCAGCTCCATGGGATCCTAAGACACATCAAATATAAATAAAGTATAAACTTTAAGACATGTGCTGTAAAACCAAACAAAATCTACATGCAACAAAAAATACACACATGTACTAAGGTCTTGTTACAGTAGACATACTAAAATCCTGTTACAGAAAATCTATTCCAGCTTCATAGCTTATTTTTATGCCACTAACACTAAAGTTACAATAAAGCAACTAAATTCAAGCTGCAAGTTGGGAAATCAGTACTAGTTAAGTCATTATAATAATTATTAAGTCTATCTATAAAGATAGAACTTTGTATATTAAAATCCCCACATTGTTAAGATACAGAAACTAAAGCCGTAGTATTTGAAAGCCTCAAGGTATAGAGGAGCTACCTGCCCAAAACACGTGCATATGCCTATCCTGAGCATCCCACCAAAACCACTCTTGGTTTATTTCAGTAAAATTAGGCATGTATGTAAAAAAAAAAAAATCATATAGAACTGATCTCTGGTTCCTAAATAAGAATTAGACTTCCTTTTCAAAATCAGGAAGCAAATGCATTGCAACTGTCATCCTTTCCACTGTGATACAAGTTCATTTTTAAGGTTTTAAAGCCTAGGAGCAGACTCCTTAAAAATTGATGAAACATGACTTCCTTCCCTGGGGAAACTGATTCCCTCCAGATTAATGGATCAGCAGCCAAAAGGAGGAAGCTTGAAAACTATGACACCTCAGCAGCAGTTGCACAGAAGCAGGAGCCACACAACCTTGAAAGGAACTGATGCCTTAAGCCCCTAATGGTTTTTTTTTATTTTTCTAGTACTTGTAAGCCTTGTAAGTTTCATAAGTAGTGGAAGTAGACTCTAAAAGCAGTATCCCTTTCCCTCTAGCACCCTTGTTTACACATTCCTTAACCCTTTTACCCCATTCTATGCTCCCTATATCAGCCCTACTCCTGAATCTAGCAGAAATGTTTAGTCTTTTGTCAAGGCAAGGTCTAGATTGTTGGCAGAACAGCATATCAGGGCCTGAACAACAAAATGAAGTCAAGAATTAGGTAACTATGTACCCTTTGTGCTCTGATGATGGTGAAGGTGATGAAGTAGGTGGTCCCGAAATGCACCCCAGACCCATTTTCAGGGGGTGGACCTGGGGCGGTCCAGAGTAAAGGCCACAGGGTGGACACATCTGGGATTGGATGGATGGTATTATAAAATGTAACCTCTCGGGCACAGGGGCACGCATCTTGTAACATCTTCTGCCTTGGAAAATAAACCCTTTCTTATCTCACCCCTAATTAACTGCTCCAGGAGACTTTTTCAGCAACATAAATCCCACGGTAACAGAACGCTGGTCATTAAGCCCAGTGGGTGAGGTACCACAGCACTGAGATAACCCAGCCTCAAAGGGAATAACATTGTTATGCAAACCCTATGTTGGTCACTGCGTGGTCTACAAGATTATACATTTTCCTTGTATTTGCATAGACACATGCTCTTCCCTGTGTGTAAAAATATATATTTAATAAATATGAAGGACAGAGAAAGCACATTGTTGTACAGCCTCAAGGTTATTCCCAATTTCACGCCCCATTCTGTCCTTAAAACAATCACTACGGCAGAGCTGAAGAACCAATTTTGCTTTCTTTAAACAGTCCTAAGTTTAAGAACACACAGGTCTGGGAATTAGATTCCTGATGTTCATAAATCCCTTGGAGGACACTCTCTGGGCTTAAAAGCAGCACCAACTGCTCTTCTTTGCAGAATTTGGGAAAAGAGCTGATGGAGAGAGCACATGCTCCATCTTCCAGGCATGAGTTATTTCTTTCTGTTGCAGGAGGAAAGTGAAATTTTGGTGAGCTTACATTTTAGCCAAGTCACCAGCTCCATCAGTATTTTACTGAGACTCTGCCTCTATGAATACTTTAAGACAGATACAGCTGAGACAGGCAGCTGTATCCATTCTCTCCTTTTTATAAGAACCAGGTTTCAGCCTGATCTGAATTATAAGAGGGGAAGAAAAATAATTATTTTCATCTGGGTCTGTTCCCTGTTCCAGCCCTCTGCCCCCTCCAAATGGATGTATCCATGAGAAAGGGAGGGAAAGGGTGCTGTTGTTTAGTTCTCTGTTCTCTGATCCAGCGTATCACACAGTACTACTTGTACCAGGATGGTAGCAGGAAGAAATGGGTGAGGTGAGGGTGGGTATGGAACCGCCTATGTTGGTGGTCAGCAGTTCCACCTGACATCAGCTTAAAGCAAAATCATGGAGTCAGACAGAGAAAGCAAGTGACTTCATTGGTCTTTGCCAGCAACCACAGATTCTTCATCATGTCTAATCCAAAACACGTTCTTTTCCCTAAAAGGTCCCCCTGACATTCTAATGTTTAATTTGTTTTAAAACTGGTGCACATCCCATTCTGCAAATAACCACTGAAAGGCTGCAGCAGTTGGTATACTGCAAGCTCAAATAAAAGCTACTGAACTAGTCTTCAGACTGCTCGCTATGAGCCTGAGCAGCATCTCTGTGTTTGCTCTTGGACTCACTAAAGTCAGCTTTAAAGTTACTAACACTTCTGAACAGAACATCAGGCTTTATCTCGGAGGCAGGAAGAGATGACAGAAAACTATGACAGACCAGTGGTTCTCAAAGCCTGAAGAGTTACGCCTATCACCTTTTATTCTCATTTCAAAGGATCCAGTACAAAATGAGAACGCCCCTACAGCAAACTCTGGCAGTGAGGAAGGCCAGCAGCACCCCAGGCTGTGTTAACAGGAGCATGGTAGCGGGAAGGGGTTATCCTTCTCTGTTAAATACCTGTGAGACCACATCTAGACAGTTTTGGGTTCCTTTGGTACAGGAGGACATACATCACCTAGAATGGTCTCAGTGAGGAGCACTTGCCCTGTGAGGAAAGGCTGAGGGACTGGGACTTGTTCAGCCTAGACAAGAAATGGCTTTGGGGAGGACACAACTGAGCATCTTGCCTGTACCCCACCGTGAGAAGGTTTGAGAGAGGATGGAGCCAAGGTGTCACTGTGATGTCCTCCCATCCTGTGGGAGGATGGGAGAGAACAGGCATAAGTTTAAACAAAAGAAGTTCAGATTCCAGATAAAGAATACCTTTCCCCCCCCATGAGGGCAGGCAAGCAGCAGACCAGGCTGCCCAAAGGGGTTGCATAGTCTCCATCCCTTCAAGGTTTTAAAGGCTCTGCTGAATAAAGCCCTAGCATCTGTGTCTGATCCCAAAGCTAATCCTGCTTTGAGTAGGTGGTTGGACTTCCTGAGGTCCCTATGATCACATATACACAAAATATATGTACACACCTTCCTCATAAAAAAATTATTAAATGATTACTTGAAACAGAAAGAAAATATAGCAGAATTAAAATTTTTTTGCAAGTGGCAGTCAGCTCAACAGTAAGTTGAGCAGTAAATACACAAAATGGACTATTTTGCAAATGAGCAGTAATTAGGCTGATTATGAATAAATATACAAATATTTTTGTCACCTCTGATGACAGAAGAAGTCTGCATCCTTTCAATTGAAAAAGTTTAGGATTTCAGACACAGAGTAAGATGTTGTATTTTCCCACAACCATGCCTGAAGCCATCTTGGTTCAAAAATATCACAATAGTTACAAACATGCACATTGGAAGAGAGACTTAGCACTTTCACTGGCTGCACACGAGGACAGGAGTGTTTTTAAGATTCTTGGAAAAAAACAAAAAAAGAAAAAAAAAGTCTAAATGAGCTCACCATCTTAAACTCTTCTCATCTGCCCTTAATCTAGTTATGCCAAAATTGCCTCAGGGCATTTGGCCACTGTGGCCATGTGTTTCACAAATGCCCTTTGTGGGTATCTCCATGGTTGACCCCTGCCTCACTTTCCTCTCTGTACCCTCAGCTCCTCCATCTCCAGCACCAGTCTCAGCTAGAAAGATCACACAGCAGTCCATCCCATCCTTTCTGCTGTGCTTAAAAGGCCAAAATAAGCAAAAAGATTTTCTTCCCTCCCCGTTCCCTCCCCTCTGTCAAGTTTTCCACCAGCACCTGGACAGATTTCCCACCTTTTCCAGGTGCTTCAAAGCACCAAAGTGAAAACTGTATCTTCCCACATGGGCTAGAACAAGATCAACTTTGCTTCTGGCAGCCAAATAACAGTCTTCTCCTGCTTGGGGTAGTTCTCTGCAGAGGAGGTATTCAGGTCTTTCTATGCCTACTAGCAGCCACTGAGGGAGTTAAGCTTTACCTTACCTTTTTCTATCCAGAAATGGAACACAGCTGTCACAGCAATTTGCATTTCTTGATACAAGAAACACTTAGGATATCAAATTAAAGCAGGAGCTTCAAAGCTTCTAATGGGACAGAGCTCTAATCACACTCCAGATGCCCAAAATCTCAGCTGACTCAGCATTTAAAAAGACTCACCCCAATCTGTCATTCCATGGTCAGAAGTTAAAATAAATGCAGTTTTTCCATCATTTTCATAGAAATGGTCAATTATTGAAGCAATTTCTTTCACACCCTCATCAACTTTTTTAATATTCTCCTTGTATTCCCTTGAAAAACAAGAAAAAATGTTAGATTCAAGGGGGCTCTCACACTTGGCATAAAGCAAGTTATCCATGGTCATAATGCCCAATCCTTTTATTATAGACAGCTTTATCCTCTACAGAACCTCAAGCTAACAAAAGGCTTCCTAGGTGTAAAATCTCACCTCCTCTGAGTCTTACGTGAGATATTAAGTTGTCATAGCACAGTTTGAAGGCTCCTGAAACCACAGTTTCAAATGGATTTATATTTCAAATATGACCTGTCCTTGACTTAAGACTATAATTTTATCACTCCCAGCTATCAGGCAAGTTAAGGAGAATAACAAAACTCAGAAATTCTGGAAAACTCAAACACCTTAAATTGTAACTTGCAAAAATTACTTTAAGATGGTAACTAAATAGCAAAGAAAGATTTTGCCATGCAGGTATTGTTTTGAGATGATTCATAGGTCATCATTCTTTTTGCTGCTGTTGCTAAAGTCAGTTTTAAAACTCTGTCTTCAAAAAAATCATAACAAATGAACATGAGAGATACAGCAAATATGAACCTTGGAATGATGTAGGGAATCAGAGAATGAATTTTGAAATTATGCAAGGATCAAGAGAAAGACATAAAATCCTACATTCAAAGCACATGAAGAAGTGAAAAAAAAGTTCTCAAATAATGCACTTCAAAACAAATTAGTGATGAGAACTGTTAATCTAAACTCTTCTTGGTTCAAGAGTCATAAGGAAAGCCAAAGCATAATGTTGGAATTTGCAGCCATTATAGTTGAGTTTACTGTTGCCTGTAAACTCAACTACATAATTTCAGCAATGGGAAATCTGAAAACTGTATCCATTTTATGTTTAAAACTGCCATTTCCTACATATCCTCTAGACTATGTGTTGGCTATAACTAAGAATCTGCTGAAAATCAGACTCGAGTAGAGAAGTATAACCAGGTATACCGTATATAGTAATAATTTGTGACTTCTACAAATGGGACCTTAAAAAACAAAATAACCCAGAAAATTCAGAACACAGGTAATCATGGTGACACATATGACCCACAACACTACCAGTCTTGTTCCTGGCTTGATAAATAACACTATTAAAGAAGTTACTGCTTGCATTTAAAACTAATGAGAAAGATATGCTTAATATCTCAATTACCTTGAGTTTGGCCGATGAGCATGTCCATTTGTGTCTATGCCTAGCAAATGAAGGAACAGAACCACTTTCTCCTCATTCAGTGCAGAGAACAATGTTTGATTACTTCTGGAAGAATTAAAGAAGCTCTGCATGGAATAAGCCATTAATACATTAATCTGAGTAAAATGGAAAAAGATAGGCAGCTTATTAAAACTAAAACATAGCTGTTTTCATGTCAAAATGCTAGTAGTTATTAGAGTTAAAAAAAGAGAAAAAATAATGACTTCCCAATTTACTTCTTGGAAGATAACTGCTATCAGTATAGTCAATCCACAATTTCAGCTTATCTAAGGCAACATTCAAGTTGAGGTGTCTTTTGCTGTTTTGGGGGATCTTTTTCTTGTGGGTTTTTTTGTTAGTTTTGTTTTTGTTAGCTTTGTTTGTGGGGCTTTTTTGAGTTTGTGAAGGCAGAAATACCAGCTAATTGCATATCATCCCTTCTTTGCCTCCTGTATAAACACAACAAGAACCATTCCTGAGCATCACTTATAGCTTTACATTTCCATTAATTTACTGAATTTACACTGGAAGCAAAGGTCTCAAACACTCTCGCTTTGAAAGCAGGTATTGCAGGACTGAGATACCAAGCTACAACTTGTTTGCAGAAACTAAAATAACAGAACGAAACATGACATGTTTTGCAAATACATGAAGTACAGAACATACATCTGCCTTGCACATGTCCTACTTATGCATCCCTGAGGCAGATGCCAGGGGAGGATTCTCCCCTCAGATGGAATGAGTCTTGACACAGCTATTCTGTGTTAGACCAGCCATATTACAGCAATGCAAAATGCAGGCAGACAGCTATTCCAACATCAGCTCCTTAGTAATAACACTGCCCAAGGAAACAAAGTTGGGTAGGGTTTTAGTCCAAAGAGCATCTAGAGAACCTTGCAGTACACTAATATAAATGAGAGTGTTTTCAAATTTCATGCAAGAGTCCAGGGAAAATGCTGGTATAGCCAGGGAACCATTTCTGCCACCAAAGAACAGGGCAGTCCACCACACACTTGTGATAGCAGTGGAGCTCTTAAAAACCAAAGCTCACACCTTGTGTAAACAAAAGTCATTGCACCCAGAGGAAGACTCAGCTGGTAGTGATAGTATCATAGTAAGCTAAGTCAGGAAACCATGGCAGTATGCAATTTCACCTTTTTAACTCCCTGAATATACACAAGCTGTGTGGACTAACATTTGCACACTCTCAGCTTCAGCTCCTGTCCAAACAAAATCATGACCAAAGTCCAGAGATATTTTAAATAAAGACACAAGAACAAAATCTGATTACATTAAATAGCAATATAATTATTTTTAAAATTTCCATTTCCCACAGAGATTCGTTCATCTGCACATATTTGACGACAGATTGAAGAAGTTTTCCAGAGCACATCAGTAATTTGCAGGATACAGTATAATTCTGTTTTCTTATTTTTAATTAAATAAAAGGAAACAACATATCAAAACAGACAGACAGGAAACTACAAAAATTAAATCCTAAATGGTAGATCAATATTTGAAGGCACATATTTTTCTATCACAGAATGATTGCGCGAAAGAAACCATTCAGAGGAAGGCAAGGCCTGAGCTTCCTCTCTCCCACCAGACTAGTCCCCATGACATACCAAAACCATCCCACTCCCCCAGCCCCAGCCACCTTGTAATCCAGAGCAGCAGCAGTCAGAAGAGCTTGCCCAAACTCTGGCTAACTAAAAAGAAGACGGTAAACAGAAGATAAGTGTAACCTAAGATGTGGCACCTTTTCCCAGAACAAATAGAAAACTTTATCCCATGGAGCTTTTTTAAAAATGGTTTACTGATTAAAAAAAAAACAAAAACCAAATAGGAAGCTCACCACAAGGAGTGATCTCAGGCTGATAAAGATGGTGAGTTGGTAAGCAGGATACTGAACAGTAGGGGCAAAAACCACTTCACCTTGCTCAGGAGGTTGCTGAACTGTTTGTCCAGAACTATCCTTTTATCTTCTTGTAGCCTGTGAAAGGTCTCTTCTTTTTGGTTCTCAGTGTTCAGAAAACTTGAGTCCTATCACCACTCAGCACTAGTTTCCAACCCACCCAACCCACCATTATGTTAACTTTAACTTTCTCTTTTTTTCTTCCTTTTTATTTGCTCTATTCAGTAATATTACCTCCATTTATATTTAAGCCAAATCTCACCAAGAAGTTTCAGAGAGGGCAGTAAACAACTAAAAGGCCAAGAGCACTTAGTTTCTCCAGTCTCAAGAAAAAGCAGCTAAGGAGAAATCCCATTGTTGTCTTACAACCATCTACTGTGAGGGTGAAGGGAAGACTGAGCCAGACTGGTCAGAGGGCCTCGAAAATGGGACAAGGCAAAGTTCACAATGTGAAATGCGGGAAATTCCAGCAAGACAAAGAGACTCTTAAATATTATTTTTTTAAACCATAAGCGTATCCAGACATTGGAACAGCTTCTCAAAAGGCTTATCCTTGAAGATGCTCAAAACTTGATTGGGCAAGATCTGAGCAGCTCGCTCTAAGAGAACCGCCTTCATGCCGGGAGTTGGACTTGATGATTACTACAGCTTTCTTCCAAACTTATTTTTATATAGTTCTGGCAACTTTTCTATGATTTTCTGTCAATTAACAACAAAATAATGCACTGGCTACAACCGATATGCAGTTTAATAAGATCAGCAACAAGTTTCCCATTAAAACATTTACAGCAAGATGTGAACTTAATTATAACGTAATACCCATTAAAACATTACAACAGAAGTTTGGTTATAACTATGTGAAATCTTTATCTAATCATCTCCCTCCTCAGATTGGAGAAAGCAAAGAAGAAAAAAAGACTACCTAGCAGGTCTAACAAATACATGACTTACAGATGTCTGAATGGAATATGAACTCACAGATGTTAAACATCTAAGTTGTCGGGGACCTTTTGTTCCCTCAAACAGAGCTTCCATGGAAGCATGATCCTTTAATATGGCTGATAAACTGCTGCTGACTGCATGCATGTACAAAGAGAGAGACCAAACAAGCTCCTTCATACATAATCTAGGACAACCTAATTTAATTGGTTGCTTAAAGTTGTGCATGTTGACTTGTGTTAATGGGAGAGTTTAAATAGTTACACTCATTTTCAGATGTAAAATGTACAAAGGCAGGATAAACATATGCCAGGTCTGGATCAGCTGAGCATGATCATGCACAAGACGCCTACGTATTTAAAATAAATCATTCAACCATTGTACTGCTAATTAGAGCACAGCTATCTGTATTGAAATCCACTGGCACAAACATCAGGTCATGGCACTGTCTGCAGAGTTTCAAAGTTTAACATAATTCAGTTCTGGACTCTGGCCGCCACCCTGCACGGAAAGGACAGTCTGAAGGCTTGGATGGCCTTCTTCCAGCAGAAAGGGGTCAAAGCAAGAATGAAGTACTGTGTTCAAAATGAGAAAGGAATAAAAGAAAAGAACCCCAAATATTTGTCATCTGTATCTACATGCCCATTCAAGTCAGAAGACACCAACTGAATATCTGGAGCGTAATAAATTGTGGTTAGGCCATTACTGGGACTCATCTCCAAGACCAAGTTCCTGGAATTTTCAACCTTTTACCTTAAAAAAGAGTTCAATCTTATAAAACTGTTTTCCACAAAATACTTCAAAAAAATCAAAAATGCATTAGGAAGACTTTTTTTTCCATTAGTTAACCTCCACTCCCAATATTTTGCTCCTTAATTTTTCTTAGCACAGACTCACAGTATGATTTAGGTAAAGGTTATTTAATTGAGAATCATCAGGCCACATCACACTAGATTATACTCAGTCCTGTAATTATTTGGAAAGCTTCTAAAAAAACTAAATCAAATCCCAAAGAAGCCAACCCAAAACCCAGAAAAAACCTGCAGTCAATCAACTTCATGCCCATCTGGAACTCCAAGCTATTGTTGTACATTAAAATTATTGAGTTTTAATGTAGCTGCTGATAATAAGCCCACAGTCTAGTATATGCTAAATTTTCTGTCCCAAGAAAGGGTTAGGAGCACCTTGATCATGAACAGACATGACAGGAACTATCAAGTATCATAAATTTTTCTTCCAGTCATGATTTAAGCAATCTGCTTCTGAGCCATACAAATAAAAACTAGTGAGAGTTACCCATCTTCTGACCGAGTTACCATTAGTTAGTGTTTTTTTTAAGAGAACAATCAATTTCAAAGTGCCAGCACTAGCACCCCAAACATTAGTTAGCCATTTTTCATTTTATCCCCACCTTTTTTGGGGGAAGACACGAGTGGCCCTCATGACACTTGGGGACCTGCAGACTACACAGCAGAGAAGGAGCACATTACCATCTTTTACTTTTTAAAGAGGTAGAAATCCAGGAACCACCTTGGCCAACATATGAATTAAACAATATGTTGTTAAATCCTTGATATAAAACTCAAAGGAGGAATAAAAAGAGTAGGCCAAGAGTATTGCCACTCCTACTTATGTGTAATCTCATTAGCACAGCTGGAAGTTGTTTGCCTATAATAACAGAGTGACCTTGGTTTCAGTAAGCCTCGAGTTTCACACTTCTGAAGCAATCATTGATGCGTTATTGGAGACATGATTAATGGAATGTGTGGTTTGCGCCAGTCAATCAAGTCCTATCCATTCACAGTATGAAATTTAGATGGGCAAAAATATGTCTTTAAAATAATGGTGCTGGTTCCGAGGAAAAAGTAATCAGTAATGACATATATATTAAACACATCATTAGAGTTTGAAAGGAGAAATGCCATTAGGTGTTCTGAAGCAAAAGGCAGCACCACCCTCACATACTTGTGCAGCTCCAAATGACAGCAGGGTGCAACTTCATGACAACAGCTATTCAAGTGTAACTGACAGCCTAATTTGATTTGTATTATTATTCATATGCATTACAACACACAACATGGTACAAAGTGCATATTCAGGGAAAGGATGGCATTAGAAAAAACATCTTTTCACCTGCAAACTCAGGAAATCACGTCCTTTGAGAATTAGCAAACTATAATGAATTTTTTCCACCCTATGTTTAAAGCAGAACCAAGCTTGGCTTCCTAAATAGATGCTGATTTGGTTTACTGGTTTATTTGGTTTAATTTTTTGTTTGATTTGATTTATGCTGGTTAGCTAATACTAATACATACTGCCCAGAGATCTTGTGGAAGAAGTTTGAAGTCTTAAGCTCCATTAACATTGTTATGAGATCCAGAAAGTAACTCACTTAATTGCTTCACTGATACAGGTATTCATACACCAGTGCGCACTATCAGCATTTCTTAATCCAGAACAAGGGAGGTAGCATGGAATAACAGGAATATAGAAACTAACGAATACTCAGAAATTATGTGTCTTAGACTATTAATACTTACAGTGACAGAGTCACAGAAAACAACAGTCATGAACCAGCACTGACCCAAGTCAGCTCAGCAGAGCACCACATCAACAAATTATAGTGCTCCAGGGCCTAAGATGCCTCTGCTTCCCCCTTTCTTCCCCCAAACTAACTGTGACTCCTCTGACTCATCTGTCACAGTACAGTGTGAACCACAGCAGACAATCAGAAGCCAGCTACATGAATCAGAAGAAGCCACACTGAACAATTACAGTCAGGGTGCAAGCTTGACAAACATTAAGCCAATAATATTGTCTATTTCTTTATCATAATGAAGACTTATGATTTCTGCCATGCTGTAAGACCTGTTATAAAATCCTTGACTAATAGCATTCAAGATCTTAAAGGGTCTGTAATACTCCATGGCTTTCAGATTACAGGCAAACAATACAAAGAAAAGCCAAGAATGTTTTTAAAGGGTGCTTTTATTAGTGTTAGATTTTTAATCAGCACAGAATGACAAATGCTTCCTCTAAGCACCCATTACACTAGTCATGAAAGTTGATTCAAGCAATATTTACTTATGACCCCATGTGATACATCTTCCAAAAATTTCTTCCTTTTCAGTTCTATGTTAAGGTTTACATGTTCTAAGACAAAGCTAACGCGCTTTTTATAAACAGCTAGCATAAAAAGATTGTCTGCTTACCTTAACATGATCAAAAACCCATATGTCAAGCTTGGCTGCATCTTGTGCTCCAAAGTCCTCACTTTCTGCTGTGTAACAAAATGTATAAACGTGATCTCCAGTAGCACCTGCAAAAACAATATAGGTGGCACACGAGATAAGAGAAAAGGTTTTTTTCTCTTTTCATAGTCAAAAATACTTTCATGCACAGAAGTAGAAACTTATCAGGAATGATAATCCTTATTTTAAACTTTCCCATAACTTACGGTTTTCTGAAACCCGGATACCATTTTACCTCATTAGGTTATCAGCATCTCAGAGGAATGAGGAACAATGTTATCCAGTATGCTCAGGTGAGGAAATAAAGTATGAAAAGGCAGATAGTATTAAAACAAATCCCAGTACAAGCAAATTAAACAGAATTTCATTTTGAAACAAAGAATTTCACCAGGAAACTTCTAATCAAGGAAGATACATATTTAGAACTTCATTTAAACATGTGTTTTGTGGGGAGACTGAGAAAAATTTATTCAGCTTTGGTTTTTCAACTGAATCATACAAGACAATGCCCTATCTATGAGGTCTTTTACACAGGAAAACATCAGATATCATATATAATGAAGGCATCAGAAGGGTTCCTGTATATCAGTTCCAGCTATCAAAAGCCCAGTGGACAACTTCAGGAAGATAATTTTCAAAGTCTGCGTCTTCAAAACATGCATCCAAAATAGAAAATGGAGAACTACTGAACTATGTTCACTCACAAAGTACAACACGAGGGCCAGTGATGTGCAAACATAGCATCTGGACAAGTCCATTTCATTCTCTACTCACTGTGAAGGGAGCAAAGCAGAGAAAGGCAGAGGAGGTTGGGGGGGGAGACCTAGAAGAAAGTAAACCTTAGAAGTCCTATAAAGATCTGAAGCTAGGTGAAGTTTAATTAAATAACTCAGTCAACAGCAGAGCTCTTACAGCTCAGGGATGCCATTTATACCGTGACAGTGCAAACTCCCAGAGGGTGAAATGTTCTTCAATTGGTTGATGACCAGCAAGAATATAACTGATTTGCTGGATGTCACAATTATATAATGCCACTGTGTAAGCTTCCAGGCTTGTGAATGAATTAACATCCCAGTATAAGGGAGCTGCTTAGCCAAGATTATGCACAAACCCACCCAAAGGGATGCAGGTATTTCAAGCCAGGAAGATGAAAGCTAGCACAGATTTTCTGGTGTAGCTCCCCTCTGCGCCCCAGGAGATGTTACAACGACTTATAACACAGAATACTTGCTGTAGTTCTCAGTCTGAAAGAAAAGGAAGAAAATACTGCCAGGCATTAAAAAGTGAATTCAGAAGTTCCAATTGGTGGATAAATGAGATCAAAAGAAGAAATAAGTCCTGTCCAACGCTATCTAAGAGGGTAGAATGCTGTAGTGTTTTTCCACAATGTCACAGCAAACCCAAGAAGATCTTCTTTAAGAAGTGCCACACCAAAGAAGCCAAATGACAGGACACAGTTTGCAGACCAAGCAAAGGAATACATCTACCACTTACCCATTTCTAATTTCCACCAGAGCAAAACAAAACAATTCACCCAACCCTGCACGGCTATAAAGAGAAACAGTAGCAAAATAAAGTCATACTAGGAAAGTTTTGGAGTGCCTGCATAGCTTATAAAATATACCTTTCTTTTGTTTTGTTTTGGTTTTTTTTAAATAAGAAATCCTACTACACAAAATGTTAGAAAATATTATTTTGTTTCTGTTATTTGAGAGGTGCCAGGTGACAGTACACTAATACTTATCTTTAAGTCTGGGGATCAGGAAGCAAAGATGGGATAGAGAAGCAGAAGGAAGCCAGGGATGAAAACACCCTTTAAAAGCAAGCATAGAGCTCTAGTGGATTTGATGAAGCTATTACACTACAGGAAATAACTGAAGTTGCCAGAAACTCTCAAACCAGTTACCACCTTTTTGCTCCCTTGTCCAACACTTTATGTCATCCTCAGTATCAATATCCAAATATTTGGATCATGGATCAAATTATTACACCTTACTTAGATTTAGTGAGACAGTTCTGTGTCTGACAAGCTTTTCATGGATCAGAGTCCAGACCAGCACGAGACTTTGCTAGCAAATTTTGCAGGCACAAAAGAGGGGAAGGAAGAATGAATGCACAAGGACAGTCAGACACTGAGCTGGACAGAGTGTGGGCATCAGAGAGCTGTCATCAAACACAGCTCCGTGAGGAATGTGAGAAATTTTGTGTTGTTTAGCAACAAGTAACTAAAACAGGAGACCGAGATGTCTGTCTGTCCAGAATAACCCCAACAATGGTTTGTCCCAGTTGTCCCCATTGTCTTGATACCCCTCTTCATACTCAATTTAAACAATGACCCTAGAGTTTCTGGAAGCTTCCAAGAAAGAGAAAGGGAACCTGTGGAACAAATGGCACTGTGGGCGCAACAGAGTAGTATCTACTTCCCTTAAGGGAAGCAGCTCCTTTTTCCGTGTGACATTTAATACTCTAGATTATACTCCAACCCAGAACCATGACAAAAGTACAGGACTGGACCTTTCAGGTCAAACCTCAAATTCTGGAAAGTCTAGAAGAGAAACTCAAAATTTTAAGGAGCATTGTAGAAGAAAAATAGGCTTTTTCAAAGCACATTATTTTCAGATAATTTCAAGGGTATAATCAAAAAGCATCAGAGAAAATAAGGCTAAAATTAGCACACTGAACTTACATATCTTAAATGAGTTTAACTATTAGAAACAAATACCTTTTAATCCTGCTAAAGATACAAGGCACTTAAAACATTATCTCAGAATAAAACACTAATCACACAGTCATTAAGAGTTTGATAGATTAAGATTTCATGTATATCTATTCTGATATTGAAAAAGATCTGTGAGTATTTTATTTACCTTCTCTATAGAATCCTCAATCATTTCCTTGAAAGATTTATTACAAGAAAAGTATCTAGGGAATACAGACAATGACAGGAAACAAAAGATTTTCTATCCTTCCCAAAAAGCAGCAGGTGTTATATAGTCTTTATTTATCATCCAATGGAAGTGGTGAAATAGTTAATGAAATTCTGAACATTTTAGCATGATAAAATACACACAAGAGGAGTGCTGTGACCTCACTAATTCGCAACTTGAAAAGAAGGAGAGAAATTAAGCTATGCTCCCCTATGTCCCTCTCGGCTTTTTGTAAAAGTAAAGTTAAAGAATAAACACTTGATCCCACTTCCTTCTGTATTCTAAAACTTTTCCTCCTTGAAAGAAGAAAAATATCTTTTTCTAACCAAAAGAAGTTAATTTATCTCTCTATCATGAGAAACTATGATTCATTTTCCCACACAGCTACTACCTCTCAGATACATTGCTGCACTAAACCTTTGCCAACATTGGGGGATTTCCCTCCCCCCTGCAAAAGGAAGCTCCATTGTTGACACCACTCAGAACAGGCCTTATTGAGAGTATTATCCTTGCACATCTCTACAGATAACATCAAAGCTGCTCTCAAGTCCTCTGCTTATCCTCTTACTCAAACAAAACCAGTAGAAAGACAAGGGTCTGGGAAACTCTCAAATTCCTCAAATATTTTCCCAAGAACATATCCCCAAAAATATAAATAATCTGTGCAAGGGCAACTACCTTTCCCTTCTCCCCAGCCGGCACGACACGATTTCCAAATACAAGCTGTAATCTGAGGTCATGGGAAATTATCAGGAGATATTTTTACAGCAGACCATAAATTTATGAGGTTCAAGCAAAGAACAGAAAAGAGGGATGTGGGGGGAATATCAGGATGAGAAAGGGAAGAGACATGAGTTCAGAAAAAGTTCAAGAATCATCATGAGAAATACGACATACATTTTTTTCTAAACCAGTATTATATTCCACTCCCATTCTGCCTATCCCATTTTTCTCATTTGTCAATACCAATACTTAGAACAGAACTGCAGCACATGCCTTTAGCTCGTCTCCTTTTCACTTCAGTCTGTTTATTCTGAGAGTACACAAAAGGGTGTATATGCCCTCGTTACAACAATATTAAACCTTTAGTTGTTTGAAGTGTTGCTCAGCAATCTCTGCACACTCAAAGACCAATTGCACTGGGCTGACAAGACTTGAATACACTGTATACCATGAGCAGAAGACCTCAGCTTCAGAAATAGTACCAGCAAGTTCCTGCTTGCATGCAGTTCTTCCATTTACATATTATTGTTCAGAGTAAAGCAGGATAACTCACAATAAGCTACTTCACAGCTCAGACATTCAAAAAGTATGGCTGCAGTTCTATCTCCCAAATCATTGGGAGCTGCATGCGTAGGAAGAAAATCCCCAACTGCACACTTGCAAACAAGAGCTTTAAACCTCAACTAAAGAAAAAAATACTAGGTCCTTATAATTTAAGGTGTGCTTCTTTTAGTATGCTGACAGAATTAGGTAAGGCCTATTTAAACAGATGACTAATAAATAGAGATATCCTCATTAAAAGCCTGCTTCTTTTCCTCCACCCCCTCAAACTCACAAATTCACAAACTAGAAACCAAGTATAGAGTATATAAAAATATACAAACTGGAAATATGTCATTCACCTTGTTCTCTAACTCAAAATTTTTAAGTGTCTCTGTTTTACTATCTGATAACTATGTGTTAAAGATTCAGAAAATTTAAGCCTTACCTTTTGCAAACATTGGCAAAATATCTGGGCTTCCCCAGCTCCAGGTATATTTACTTTCATTGAAAACAGAGTCAAATTCCACTGGATTCTCCTTCCATCCTGTTAAACAAATACACCTGGATTTAAATGTGGTTGCCAGAAGATCTCATTGACAAGACTGACAGTCGATGCAAAATGTTGTTTGGGTTATTTTTAATAACTTTCCTTTATATTATTGCACAATGAACTCCAATTTGTGAATCTCAGTTTTAACTCCATTTCAACCTCTATTATAATAAGTCCCCCCTTCATTAAGAAGTGAGCTGAAAACCTAAGCCAATCTCATTATGCAGGGATTCAAACAGGCAAAACACACAGCTGATTTACCTTCTAAACAGCTAAAATTCTCCTGAATTCTACATCCCCTGTTGTCTGAACTGAGTTTTTGGCATTTCAGGCAATAAATTACACACTCATATCATATTTCCAGCAGTCACACACTCATCACAATACAACCTCCAAGATCTTCTGTTTCCACAAAAAGGCAGCTGGCAGAAATACATAGATCTCTCAACAATTCCTGCCAATCCTGGATTTGTAGCAATTGTCAGAAGGAAGAAGCTTTTGATTAGGAACATGGATAGAACCAAGTAACTCCTCTCACCTCCCCTGTCCAAAACCAACACACAACATTAGCAGTGTTCATGCCTGAGGGAAGGCAGAGGACCACACAAAAGACCAAGTCAGTAACACAAAGCGTTGTTCCCCATAATTAAACCCCAAGCACGCAGTGACAGCCAGCTCTGGACAAAATACATGCTTGGGGCTTTTGGTTTATTTTCGTCCTGATTCTCCAACTCAAGACAGCAATAATTCAGCTAAGACACTACAGTACATTAGTTGTTTCAACACCTACTTAGCCACCTCCTGTTACATCCCAAATGATAATTAAAATCTCTGTTACATGAAGAGGTGAGGCCATAAAATACTCTGCTTCCAGGCTCAGGGTGCTAAGTTTTACCACGTTACAAAATATTAACATAGGTAAGCTATTTTCACAGCTTTTCAATATTAAGAATGGAAAATCCATCCAAAATTACTATTTTGCACATAATCTTTGTATACAAACCACTATGCATTAATAATCATCTAGAAGCCTAGCACATCACTGAAACACCTTATCTCAGAGGACAGTGTTCAAAGCTTTAGGACAAGCATACCTTTAGCAACAGCACTGACATCTTCATAAAATCCAGCTATAAGTGCAACGTGCCCTGGCCTGGATTCTGTTGGGACTCGGGTATGAGAGATTCCCCAGCTGCCATTGTTCTCTAGAATACCCCTGAAAAAAGGATAAGAGGCAGTTAATGCTCATGACTTCTTGAAAGCACAACAAATTCTGGGAGGCAGAAAATGCACAAACCCCCCCCCCCCCAAAAAAACCCCAGAACACAGACTAAACCAGATTTTCACTACCACCTGCTGCGCAGTAAAACAAGCAGAACATTAACCTGCAAGTAGTTCTATATTATGACACCCCACAGAGAACATTACTATTGTGGCCCATCAGCACTGCAAACAGATGAGTTTAGCTGGTATTGTAATACATTTCAAATTAACACACTATTTTTTTCTGCTGTTTTCCACTTTAGCTTACTTCCCCCCCAACAGATTGTTTCTGCCTGCTGCTACTTTTTTTGTTATTTCCATTTAGCTAGAAAGTGTCTAGTTAAATCTTATCTTACTCATTAAATATGCTCAATTATAATTAGTTCTTGTGACCATGTCTGCCTTTTTCTGTGCTGAATATCAGAAGCCAGCATGAAGAGAATTTGAACCGCATGCAAATTTAAGGTACAAATAATTTTGGCAACAAGAAGCAAATCTAAGTAAACCTTTTATCTTTTGTAATTACATCACATTGAAGGAGAATACCTTCTCACCACACATAGAGAAATACATCAAATTGTCTAGGGTTTATGCACAAACAATAGTTACAACAGATAAAAAGCAAAGAAAATAGGGACAAAACCCAACCATAAGAAACAGCCTCATAAACTATTCCTGTCTGCTGAAGATATGAACAGCTGGGGCCTGCCAGAAAGCAAGTGGTGAGCATTACCATATGCTGCTTTCTTGTCTCCATCTTCTGGATGAAGAGAAAGATTCAGCTTATTGTCAGAGCATGGGGAGAAAAATAAAAAACACACCCACACACTCCTTATACTGATTTTTAGGATAAAACAGCAGAATCCTCTGAACAAATTCAAAGCAGTTTTTAACAGTCAAATTGTACTGTTGTTATTCATGATATAAGATACAAAATTGTCTATATTTTTATCAGATGTGTTTTAGTCCATGCTAATTTCATGCTTTCTAACTTTGTTTTTAACAGAGATTTTATACGACTGTTAGTTACAAGACCTCTATACTCAGCTGTAAATATATTTCTCACTAATGAAGCAAGAATTGAATTACAGCCTAAAATTTCAAGCTCTACTCTAAGTTTGCAGCATTCATGGTTTGCTTGTTGAGCTTTTTTTAAAACTCATTTTAGACCCCACATTCTCATGGACTACTTGAAAGCTCACAGAACTGCCTGGAATAGCCCAATACTAGTGAGAAATATAAAAGCACACAGAGACATAGCACTCTGACATGTTATTTCTAGCCCTCATCTCAGCTAGGTTTTAAGGCAAGTTGGACTGAAAAAAGTACTAATTTGAAAACAGAATTTAAGTATTATTTGAAGTGGTTTCCAGTTTATTCTCACTGAAGACTGACTAAGATGTATTGCACTAGTATTCATGGAAGATTTAAGACAAAAATAAAACATGTGCAGCTATTCTCATACTTCATGGTCACAACAGGTAGGAAATTGTTTTAAATAGAATTTGATTTCTATTGAATTGGAAAGTAATCCTCTATCTTTGCTTTTGTGGGACTGTTGTCAACAACAGGATTGACTTCAGGATCTCAAGTCAACAATGATATATATCAAACAAAAGTATAGATAGATAGATAAATAGATAGATAAAAATATAGCCAGATATCATAATTTACCTGTTCAGAATTCGTTTAGCTATTTTGAATCATTTCAAAGCCTTTTACTCAGAAGAACCACTGAAAAAATTAATTTCCTTGACAATATAAACATTAGCTACCCATAATAACAATGATTAATATTAATATGATATAGTGATATGGCTGAAACATGACAGGCAAGGAAGAAAATATCTTCCCTGAAATCATCACCGCAGCAATTCAGGTCACCTACTATTGCTCACAGCTACCACAACACTGCTGAAAAATAGATTTTTCAAGAATATTTGTAAAAGAGTAGATACTTGGCATATATCATCCTAGTAATCTGCTTCAAGCCTAATGGATATTTATTTTTAATTTCATGTACCTAATAAAATTTTGCTTCTATTTATAGCACATTGCTACAAGAGGGGTTCTTGCTCCTTTAAAGAAAATATTTTTGCATTAACAACACAGTAGTTCCCAAAGTGCTCCACCTGGATAAGATTAGTAATCTGGATGTTATGTTGCCTACTACTATAAAGTGGATAAGGGACTGAACACTTAGGAATGAATGTGCAAAAAAAGTAAACTTGATATTAAATTGCAGATACTTTGGGTTAATATTATTGGAAAAGGAATGCTCAGACAGCAATAACTTGGCAGAATAAAAAAGGAAACACTTCCAGAAATCAACATCTGATCTTATCAACTTGTTTACAAAGTTAACTTATGGAAGTTGTGCAGCTCAAAGGTTTGGTGACAAAGCACCGGGCCTCTTGCTTCAAAATTGTGGCAGCTCATGTAATGGATCTGAAGATAGGCTCTGGACTGCCTGGCCCACCACATTTCAGAAAGTACGACATGCCACATGTTTTTTCTTTTCATCCTCTCTCACACAAACACATTCACACTCAGGTACGTCTATGCAGAATTAGAGACAAGAAAAATACAGATGGCACTTCAAACCTCTATTGGCATTTTCTTCCACTCAGTGACCTGTCAGCATCTTTGCTTGTTACAAGGCAGTTCTTCCTCTCCATTCACCCATGTTACCTTCAGCACCGGGGACAATGTTTTATTTCTACAGGTTTTGAAAGAGAAAGTCTCTAACTACACAAATGAGGTGAAGCAGAGACAACAAAAGTGCCAACTTTCCAGCATTAGACAAGCCAGTACATGGTTTAACTTTTTTCTAGATAGGCATGACAATGCTGAATGGCTTAAACATAAGAACTCAAACCATTTAATGGCAAAAATACCCACTATAACTCTTTCCTGGCCACTACCCACCATTGGTCCTACTGATGGGGACATTACACCATTCGTACCTTGATGGTGTTGGTTGATGCTGGAAAAGACCAACAGTTTTACTGCTAAGAAAAGAAACTGCTCTGAGGTAAGTGTAAAGTCCACTGCTAAAAGACAAGTCTCACTGATGTGTCAGACATCTGCCAGTGGCAAAGAGCACCTTATAAAGACAGTAACAGCAGCAGAAGCAGGTATAACTATACTCATATAAGCTGGCAAGCACTGTAGCAAGGACCCCTCAGATTTCTTTACTACTTTTGCAGTAGTGGACTGCAAAAGCCCTAACAGCTTCAGATGTTTGATTATTTGGGTTTGTTCTGATATTCAAGCCAGACCAGCACTATTACACAATTGTCTTGTTTTTTTTAGTCTAAGAAATTAATTGTCTTATAACCAATTAATTATCTTGATACAAGGAAACTGGGAAAGTTAACGAAAATTGGTTCTAAGCACGTGAGGTTATGACTTTTTGGCAGGATTTATTTTTCACAACCTTAAACCAAATCAACCCCTTAAGCAATCAGACACACTAGGGAGCACAAGGGAGGCACCAAGGTCAGGCACACAGGAAGGGTGGAACCAAGAGGAGGTGGCAGCCTGCTGTTAGATCCATTCAGGACATCACTTAATCACTCCTTAAAAAGCTTAGAGTTAGAAGACAAGCACGTTAATGAACTGCTACTCTTAAACTGAACATCCAGGAAGCAGTAAAATTAACGCCTGTCAGGCTTCAGAATTGATACCATGCTGATGTGAATGGAGAAAGTTCACGCTCCTCTCAGTTACTGGCTATCTGTAGTTTGCAGGGGACAATACTCACTCAATTTACACTGTTACTGCTTTAGCAGCTTTCCTGACAAGGGACACCAAACCAAACTCATGCAGAGTGTAACTCTTTCAAAGTTGGTCACTTCAAAGGCAGAGGGAAGGCAGTATTCAAGCTACCATAGTTGCTGTCGTTCTTCTTCTTCTCTTTTTGACATTATACAGAGCTGCCTTCAGAAGTGAAATCTTTTGGTTCAGTAGAGTTTTCAGATGGACTTACCGCAGGTAAGGTGCCTGGGCTGTGCCATTGCTATTCAATTCATAGAGTGAATCTGCTCGCAGACCATCAGCAACAAAGAGTACAAGACGTTTTGCTGGAGGTGGCAGTGGAGTCTGCTGAGGGGTCATTCCATGGACCAGGGGAGAGCTGAAGTAGATGTCAAAAATGGAGACCAAGAACACACAATGCACAAGGAGAGCAGCAAGTATGAAGATTGGTATATCCATGGCAACAGCCGGCTGGCAAAGGCAAACTCCAACACTAAGAGGAAGTGAGAAAAATAAAGTGAGGCAAATGAGACTTATCAGAATCAGTATTTATTTCACTTGTTATAGAATGGCAATACAACAATCACAGCCATCACCCATGTGATCCATAATCAGTTTCTGTTTCCAACAAGCTTTTTCCCCCAGTCAAAAGCCACTGCATGACTAATTCAGACTTTCAGAGAGCCATCATGTCTCAGCAACTCATCTGGTTTTTACTGGTTTATTAGACGGTTTCAAAAGACCACTGAATCAAGCCAGTTTGTTTTGGGACCTACATCAGTGACAGAAGACTCAAGACAACACAAAGTCTCCATGAACATACTACCCTCTACTGGCTAGTTGCACAACAGAGTTGAAATCTGGTAAATGCAAGCCAGAAGCCAGACAGCTAGGAAAAGCCATCCTACAGCAAACATCCATCCAATACTGCTTTTTTCCCCAAGTTTGCTATCAAATCTGGGCTTGTTATATTCTGTAGAAACAGAACCCTTCTTTTAAAAGAACAAAGACGCTGTGCTGAGCGCAGAATGCTATTCCTCTTCTAAAACAGGTGACAAAATCACAACAGTTGCAGAATTATGTTTCAGGGATAATTATATTCCCTTTTTGAATGTTTTTTTTTTCTACCCTGTCACCCTCTGATATCAGGTTAGGGATACAAATATGCCTAATAACAGGTACGCTGGAAATGCACGTTTGCCAAGTGTACTGTGCGGTTCAAGTGATGCCTACTGCAGGTAAATATGTATATTGGCTCAGGTAAGTGTGGGATCTAAGCTGGAATGACACTTAGCTCTAACAAAGTACTATTAGTGCTGTCCAAGCTGCTAACTTAGTTATTTAAATATCAGCTAATTATCAACCTCTACAAAACAACACCTCCACTCATCAATTTAGAAACAGATGTTCCTAACAGCCTGGAAGGTTCAGATTAACTATGTAAATACACACCTCTCTTTAAAAGAAACACTTTGTTAGGAATCTAGTAAGTGCTTCTAAATGTCAATATACATATTGAGTTTATCTTGTTACTTACAGAATTCTAGTAGCTGAACAGAGACAGGCACCCACCATATGGTAAGACTATTACTCTTATCAAATAAGGAGAAAAGGCTTCAATACCAAATAACCTGAACTCTGACCAAAACTCTGAAAGATTCTTCTTAAAATAAAATTTTTTAAAAGGCCAGGAAAGCCAGAGGAAAAAAGAAACATACTAATAAAGATTTGAAAGTTAATATATAATATTACTTACTATTCAAAAGAAAGTTCAGATCTCTATACAACTTAACCATAACTTCTAATTCCACCCATTTTCCTTACCGAAACACAGATGCAACAACTCCAACCCTAATTCTAAATACTACTATAGTAATTTCTCATTTGAGAGATTTGGAGAGAAAACCACATAACAAAATTGAGATAACTTAATATAACATTTCAAAGAGACAATCAGTAGTTACATTTAAGCGATCAAACAAAAACTTTTTGTTAATCAGGAACTTACGTGCTTCTATGTCTACAAGTGTAAATATCAGTTTGTTTATTTTTAAGTACTCAGGGTTATTGCATCAATTTAAATATATGAAATTACAATCACAGAAACACCACTAAGTTCAATGCCAGACTTCATTTTATTCAATCAGTTTTATTTCCATAGGGCTTTTTATTTTGATGTAGTTGTGCTTGATAAGAGAATCCAAACTATTCATGCCTTAAACTGATGATACTAAACACCCTACTAAACAAAACAGTAAATTCTATCAGGTACTTGTTGCATATTCCCAATGCTACAGTTCTACAGCTTAACATATTCTATGTTCTTCTAATTAAAGTATTAGTAACATAATCTGTTTTCTGCACTAGTTATTTCTCTTTGCTTTAACTCTCCCCAAGCCTCAGTCCTTGCTTGCAGCAAAACGAGTGTAGTCAACACAATTCAAATTTAATGCTGTCTTAGACTATAGCATCCATGGAATTAATTAAAAAAAATAAAAAGGATACTTTCTTTTGCAACCAGTTTGACTACATTACACTAGACTATCCATCTGGGCCCAACATCTCCAACTGCTCACCACCATCATATGGTTTCCAGACAAGCAGCTCCCAGAGCCCTGCTTTTGCCACATCCCTCACAGCTGCTCCTTCTGCCTCTGAGGTTAGCTTACACTGTTCCTTTAATACACGACTTTGTGTGTTATCACTGTGACATAACACTGTGAAAAGTATTCTATCTTCAGGCTTACAAATACTTTCCCGCAGATATAAAGGCCTTGGAAAGCTCCTAATTGCATTCAGCTGAATGTCAGAATGGCATCTCACACCCTTTTCAAATGGAAGTCTGGCTCTCAAACTACTAAGCCACTAAGGTGTTCCAAAGGAGCACTCATCTCTGGGTAGAGAGGCACCAGCGACCTTCTACACCTTTTTATCTTGATCAAGTTACAACCAAACTTGGTCCTTGCCAGCCCAAAGTGCTTGAAGTTCATTTAAGACAGTCGTTTTGTGAAATATATCCTCTTCAGACATCAAAAGTACCAGAGAAGAACAAAACATTTCCAGGACGTGGTTTTCAATGGAAAAGGAAGTTCTTTATCACTGCCCAGGTTCCTTTGGGACTTCCAAACCAAAGCACCCATTCTATCCCTGTAGGACAAACACCCAAGACCAGGTACCTTTTTCTTCCCCCTTTGTGCTTTTGCATCACCATTTGACAGGCTAGTTTGAAATGCAGTCTGAACCTGCCAGTCCAGCATGGAATGCAGAAGCTGAACAGGATCTCATAGGTGTTCTGACAGGCCTGTCAGCATCATCAGGAGATGCAAATGGAAGGAAGCATTGGCATCAAACTCCTTGGGGCCCAGTGGCCTTCTGGCATGTTTTTCTGGCTGGGAAGCAGCTAACTCAGTAAAAATTGGGTGCTCAGGCATTCTTCAAACCATCTTGGTACAGAGAAAGCAAAGCTATCACTGTGTATGTATCTGTCCCGCCAGGAAACATGCTTATCTATATACTATTTCTCCATGTCTCACATGAGATGCAGAAATTAAACCCAGCTTCTATGGGTTTAAGAAAGTCCTTTAACTTTCTCCTCCCTCTGTTACAAAGGTCATAATGAGCAAATTTCTCCATACAGCCCAGTGCTTGACTGTTTAAGGCAGAAAGCTCACAAGGCATAGAAATAACAAGGATAACGATTTCAATAACAATTTCTTCCTCACAAGGAAAAAATAACCAGGTTAAAAGGGAAAAGTGGATTAAGCACTAGCTTATAAGGAAAAGCAAAAGCCAAAGCCTGTCAAGAGAAGAAAAAGAGAGATGTATTAAACACACACAATTTTGAGGATAAGGAGCCAGATGCATTAATTACTAGTGCCAAAATATCTCTGCCCTCAGGTGCCTGACCATTCAAAATGTGGATAAACAAACTGTCACTTGAAAATATATTTTACATCTTTCCGTCAAGAAATCTTAAGCCAAGGATATCTCAATATTTTTGTGTTCTGTAATATTTTCTCAGGCAATCCCTTAGCAAATGATTTAGTCCACTATCTACCTTTAGGTAGTGTTTATTTTCACAAAGCAAAACACAAACTTTGCTCAGATTTTAACTGCATTATTCTACTTAATTCTGTTAAGCCATTGCCTATCACAACAAGAGGAGACAGAGAAGCTCCTAGTCTTGCAGGTAAAAAGAGCACATTGCTACCTATTTGTCACATGCCATTTCTTACTGTCCATCCAAATACATCATTTGCTATAACAGAATCCTAGAATCCTAATACAGGCAGCCAAATCACCTCCTCTTTAGATTCAGCCCAACTAGTAAGCTATATATCAGACTCAGATTAATTCTTTTCTTTCTGTACTTTTCACCTTCTGTCACCATCTCTTAAACTAAATACAGAGCCAATAATGATTCTGTCCAACCTCCAGTATATCAGAACTTAAACTATTACAATAAAATAGGTTTTTTTCAAACAATTTGGAGTCAACAACACAAAGTTGGTGTGGATTCTTAAATGAAGACCCTTTTCAGATTCTTAACAGGAAAGTACTAAAGATCCACTAAGCTTCTCATTGCCTGTTAAATGTGAGTTGTTCACAGGAACAGATCAAGTAGAAAATCAGCACTGCCCTGGTGAGGCCGGGGGCTTCAGCAGACTTTAGAGCTTCTCACTTTATTGGATGTTGTACACGAGCAGAGAGGAGAGCGAGAAGACACAGGGGAGCAATCAAAACGAGAGACAGCAAGGTAGAACCAGGACACCCTTCTTAGAGTCTAGGAGATTAAAGAAAGAAAAGCAGCAAGGACCTTCTGACTGCAATTAATTACTTTTCCAGAATAAAGTGATACACAGATTAGAGAAGGGTTTTTTGGTGCTACCCTGCCGTCATACTGAATTCTCAGAAAGTTCAGCTCCCAATTGGTGGCAAAGAGGAAGAAAGGACTCTTTCTGTCTTTGTATTTGCACCTATCAAAACAATATCCAAAAATCCTATCAGCTGTGAGTGCCTCACCAACAGCTGTGTCAGTGCAAGGACTAAAACACCCAGACTGTGATGGTGGCAGGGGAGCAAGACAGCTGCAATGAGCCACCTAAGCCCAACCATCAGACAAGAAGCAGGCAGGTTATTTCTTCACATGAGCTTTTCCCTCTTTTCAAGCTGATCTGTAACTTGCTGATAAGACTTTTTTTTTTTTAACCTTCTTTTTGACTCACACCATAGAAACTACATCCACAGCCCCAGGCTGGATCAGGTCCCTCAGCGCTGAACAGGAAGGCTGACATAATTAAATGCAGCACACAGTTTCCCTAAGTAATCCACATCTAAGATGCATCCTCTCTGAAGTTATAATCTCTCAGTATTATTTATAACGCAAAGAAAACCAGACTTGTACTGCAATACAATATAGTTCTTCATAAGAAATGCAACATTTCCCTTTTATATTTTTCTTTCTCCAAATACGCAATAAAACATAGACAAAAT